CCCCAAAACCCCAAAACCCCAAAACCCCAAAACCCCTTTTAGCGGAAGCATTTTTGAATCAAATTATAAAATGTATCCGTTTTAATCAGAGTCACTTAGCTCATTCTTGAAATAATCATCCTCCCACAGATATTTATAGGTTCTCTTGATAAAAGGATGCTGAGTGTTTTCAAAATTCCATTCAAAACTCTTCTCCTCTCTCCTCTCTTCACATCCTCTCGATTCTTTCTGAATCAACTCATCAAACCCCATCTGATTCAGAATCAACATCACCGCTTCCTCTACTCTATCTTCTCCTCCCCTCTCAGCTCCTCTCTCCCTCTGCTTCCTTTCTCTATAACCACAAATCTTTCCCAAACTCCCCTACAATATTCCCAAACAAAAACTCCCAAAATCCTATCCGTACCTTCCCAAACACACAACTCAACCCATTCCACCCCCACCTTCCTCACCACCTACCCCTTCCCACTCATAACCCAAAGAACCCATCCTTCCTCCCCTACACCAAGGCGAAAAGCTCTCAGAAAGGCAAGGAAAGTTAATCTAAAGAATTTTAATAAAAAGTGGGAATGTACAGTTAGAAATATGAGGTCTTACCTTTTCTTTGTACTATTGGTGCTGTGGTTTTGTTGGTTGGTGTATTTGGTATTTTTATTTCTTGGCTTGTTGTGCTTGCTGATTGGATATTGTCTGTGGGGAGAGGTTAGGGGGTGGTGAGGGAAGATGGGAGTGGGGGAAGAAGAGAGGGAGGGGAGGGAATGAGAGAATTTGGGAAGTGGGTTGGGAATTTTGGGGTTAGAGGTGGTGGTTGATGGGATAGGGGAGGAGATAGGGTAGGGTTGGGGGAATGGAGGGGCTGTGGTGGGGTTGATTGAGGAATGGAGGTTTATGAAAAGTTTACCTTATTAAAGCATTCCTGCATTGTTTTTACGAGGTGATCAAGGCTTGGATTAGAATTTGTCTATAAGTTTAGGTAATTTTAGAATTATTTCAAAGAAAAATTGAGTTTCAGATAGTTTAAAATAGCGAATAGTTAAAGATTTCTGACTAATACCTGATCTGGAATGAGGCTTGAGGTGTGGTAGATGCCAAAGAGGAGAAACTTTAGAAGGAAGTGGTTTGATAGTTTATCGATCGACGAGATTCGGCCTGTTTCATATTAGGAAAGAAATTACCTGATATTACATTACGGGTGTCTGAGATGGCCATCTCAAGTATGATATCGGTCATTCTCTCTACCTTCTCTTCTCTACTCAGGTCTAAACCATTCGCTTAATTGCTAACTTACTCTCATCAGGATCAGTCAGAAATAGCTCCCCAGCTTTATCCTTCACAAGCGATGAATCATCAATACTAGCGGTGACTAGACAGTCCCACAAGAAATCAGGGTCCAGAGAGAGAAGTTTGGTGATTTTTTGTCTGCCTAGGTGGTCGTCACCCCGCTGGTTTATGTAGGATCTTGAAACGTTTGTGTACAAGAACTAAAATTTAGATCAGCTTCTTAAAAAATTGTGGCTACAAGTGCAATCTATCGAAAGCTTTTGAAAAAAGTGATGAGGAAGGAGAAAAGATATATATTTAGGCGATTCTTTTGGGATTTAATGAAAGTTTATGGGTGAGGAGTTGGGATTTCAGTGCATTTTGGGATTGCTATAGATTTTTTGTGGGGTAAGGTTAGAGAGAAAATTTGAGGAAGATAAAAATATTGATTGTTTAAAACCATAATATTAAACATACTCTCAGGATTAAAAGTATCCTATCATTAACCCCTCCAAAAAGTATCCACCTCTAGCCCCCATTTTCTTACTTTACGTCTAATCCATTCACTCTTCGCAAGCAGAGGAAGGGCCAGGTTCGTAACACAGGTGCTCAATCTTCTCAAAGAGCCTGAAAGAAGCAAGGAGTTTTTAGTCTTTTTAGGCTTTTTTGGGGACTTTTGGGTCCTCTTTTTGGCCCTTTTGGGTAAAGGAAGAGCTGTAGTGGGTTAGAAGGGGTTTTTAGGGGTGAAGGGAAAATATGTAGGTTTTTGGAGATATCTTGAAAATTTTAGGGGGTTGGGAAGAGGGGATTTAGGTTAGGGGGTTTGAAGAGTGGATGTTGGATGTGTAGAAGATAGAGGAAATTTTTGGGGTTAATAAAAGGCTATTTTGCTGATGTTTCTTGAAAGTTGAGATAGAACATAAAATAGCAATTTTCGTTTCAATGATGAACTTACTTTTTTGATTCATTCATTCCATCCTTGTTTTATTTGAGACTTGAGTTGAGCTTGAGTTTTCTTCCCGCTGGGTGTCAATATTTTCAGAAGTGCTTCTTGTAGTATTCACCTGGTTTTTCTCATTTGATCTTAATTCTTCTTTATTTTCTTCTCAAATTTTAGAAGCATAGACATTTGCTTCTAGTGAATCTTGAACATCTAGTTGTAGGAAATCCATATCATTCTGACATTGATCTAAGACCTCTTGAAAGAAAGCAGGGGAGGAATGATTATGATTATTTTCTTTGCTCGATTCTTGTCTACTTTGCTATATTATTATCTTCAGAGGTATTTTTTTACAATAATTGATTGATTTTTTCAAAGATATAGAGTCAAAAGTCTACATGTTGACTCATATTTAAATTTAAAGTCAAGATAAAAGTAATAATACTGCAACCTACATTCTCTCCGTCTTGCATCCTTCCTATCTCTCTTAGTCTCTCTCTATAATCCAATTATTCCTGAAGCAAGCCTAATTGATGAACAGGGCATTTGGCCTGAAGTGGAATTTAGCCTGTCAAACTTGCCTAAAAGAGCGTTTGAAAGGGAATTTAGGCGTGAAAAGTTTGAGATGGGGAGTTTAGTGGGGTTAGGGGAGGATTACGGGGAGAAATGGTGGTCAGGTGTGTGTTCTGAGGGGGTATTTGGTAGGTTGGACATTATGAAAGTTATTTTTGCAATTTGGAAATTTTATATGGGGTTTTGGGGTTTTGGGGTTTTGGGG